ACATTATACTATTTACTGCTATCACTTAGTACAGTCAAGTGATGCATACTGCCCTCAACTGGGGAATATCTCAGAAACCAAAAAAAGTTAGGGTCTTTCTTTTATCATGGACATACCTGGGTGATCTGAATAATGGACAGAACTTCCTTTATCTGTAGATTTTATTTAATCATTCTTATATACTTTTTATTTAAAGTCTTATCTGTAAGTTTTCTCATTTGTTTTTGAAAACAAAAATTCAAAACTTTCAATAATATTGGAAACCAAATAAGAAGAGAAAAATTTCAATGTAAACTTCCCCTGTCCTGAAATGCTTTATCAATTTTTCCCTTTATGAAAATGGGGAAATATGCACATGATCTTGCCTTTGAAATTATCATGTGGTACATGTATATATTGAAGATATACAATTGGCACCATTAAATATCTCTCTCTCTCTCTCTCTCTCTCTCTCTCTCTCTCTCTCAAATTCATGGCTGCAAATGAAAGCAAAATCATTCTCCAAAAAAAGTTGTTTAAAAAAGCTTTCATACTTTCCTTTGCAAATTTCTGGTAATTCAACTCTCTGTGTAGAAATGGGCAATTTTCAAGAAGACTGACAATTTATGTTTTAACAATTTTTAAAAATTAAAATTCTGATTTCATACAGAAAACATGAAAACCTCAAGCATGCGGAGCTAGCAACTATTTTAGGGCTTTATACAGTGTGAAATTTCAGAGTTCCCAAATGACCTTACACTTTGAATGTAATGCACTTAAAAACATGTCCATGCACACATTCCAAAGCTAAATGCTGCATGGATAAAGCCAATACACAGGGTACAATTTACTTGTTGCCTTAAATTCCAATGACAGAGAGGTAAACACCTTTCTAAACATTTTTTTAACTGATCTAGTTGTAGGGTGCTTGCTTCATGATCAAAAGGCCCAGGTTCAATTCTCTTTCGCCGAACCACGTCAAACCTGATATAGGTAAAGTGACTGTTTCTTCGCCACGCACCTGGAACTAGAAGTGAAAGTCACTGGTCTTTTGAATGAGACCTTAAAAACAGAGGTCCCATATGACACAGTGGGCATTGGTACAATAAAGTACCCTCACTGCTAAATGGCCCTGAGTGCTGAGTACAGGTCTAAATTTGAAGCCCTTCACCGGTATATGGTGACATCGTCTCTATATGAGTGAAAAATTCTTGAATGGGACCTAAAACAACATACAATCAATCAATCAACCTTCTAAACTTTTTATAAAATTAACACTGTCATAGAGCTATCACAAAATTGGCATTGTCTAAGCAACACTATCGCAATGATACATATCAAACCACTTCATCTCAAACATGAAGCGACCAAGAAAAACTTCCAGATATCCAAAGTTTCTAGTTATCAAGGTTCAAATTCATTAAGAAGAAGTGACCAAGACTTCCAAATTACTTCTACATACAGTTACTGTACCTGTGCTTTAAAGCTATATATGGCGTATCTAAACTTAAAAAAAATAAATAAAAATACGAGATTGAGTGTTGATAAACATAATATTTATGTTCAAATTGAAATTTTCACCGATTTTCAATTTGAATAACCTCATGTTACCATAGTTAAATTGATTTTAAACTGTGTCTGTTATTTAAATGCGGAGTCAGTAAATAAATTGGTTATTGTTTTAAATTTCTAATATCTTTGAAACGGGATTGATTTAAATTGTGTAATTTACAGGAAAGTCCTATCTTTATATAAAGTAATAAAACAAATAGAAAGATCTTTTTTAATTTTAGTTAGTCTGAACTAATAAAAAATATGCCATATATGACTTAAAAAACCAGGCTTCATATTTTAGCGGGTTTGGCACAGACAATGATTTGTTTATTTTTGAATACCATTAAGAAGTCATTAATGAATACAAAAGTCGAGTGGATGTGTGTTGCGCTAATTCATGATTACATCAACAACTCCATAAACAGTAATTGCACTAAATTTTGAGTATATGTCAATTTATGTACACATACATGAGTATCAATGTTATTGGAGATATTGGTGTTCGAGATACCAAAGTTCAACTGTATATCATATTACAATATTATACGGACCACAATAAAAAATGCTTTTACTTCCAATAAATATATAATTAATTCACAGAGATCTGCCATAATAAATTGCATGTGATTATACAGAGAAACCATCAGACTGACCCTTCTGCAGTAAAACTCCATCATAATCGATCACCTAGATGCACATCTTTTCTATCATCAAGTGACTAAATGACAAATATAACCCACAGAAAGGATCTACTCTGGTCAACAACTGCTCATTTTATGTGCAGACAAAGACCATTAAGCATCGATCAATCTGGATCAATCAAAGCTTTTGGTCATTTCGTGTCTGCATAGTCACAATAACATTGACTGAACAAAATTTTAGAGAAAACTTAACCATGTTAACAGCTAAAGCTAAAATAATTGGAACTATAAATATCAGGCCATCCTTTGAAAAATTGCTTGGAATTGCCCCCTAGGAGGTTTCAGACCCAAGATGGAGGGAGGGAACTTACTTTTTTTTTCTTTTTCAAAACTGAATTTAAATTGAAACTGTTGATAATAATCTGAATACTTTTTGTAAAAAGTATCTCCCATCAACCAAGAACCCAGTTTTTGCATAGATCTGATGTTAATTGTTTTGAGTGGCATGATAACAGACCAAGGACTGATTAAATTAAAAAAAAAATCTTATTTTTGGTCAATAAAATTTTTTCCAGGAGGGGTCATTTCAATGAGGCAGGAAGTAATTCCAAACAAACAATGACTTTATTTTGGTCTCAGCAATTAAATATATAAGCAGCTAAGTGTTAAAATTAAAAGGAAATAAAAGGAAATATTTCCTAAATGCTAGTGAAAAATCAAAACTAAGAGGTTGAGCTAAAAATTTTGTAGCAAAATTTGGCAAGTGAAAAGAAACAATCTTTTTCTCATTTTGCAGGTTTCTTGACTTCGGTTCTAAATTGTCTTGCGCACTTAAAAGCTTTATGGAATGACCTATAGAGTACATCAGAGTAGTTAAATCTGAATTTAAAACAAGGTGTAGTCTGTGAAGTACATACCACTTTTAATAAATGAATTAATGCTTGTAATTTTCATGTTTCAGATTATGATAATAAATGCAGAAAATAAATGTAGTAAATCAGTCCATGCACATCTCTTATAGCTCTGGCTTTAGTTTCGTGTGTACAGTGTACTTGCCAATCTTTAAAATTGTGTAGAATATAAGGACGTTGAAATCTTCTTTTTCTTCTACTTTAAAAAATAAACTAAGAATTTGCAATCAATTGTACATAAAAAAATTACTGTATAAGGCAATAATTAGATCTGATTTTTCATATATAGGTAATGTTCAATCCAAAAGTTTTACTATAAGTATCAATATTTATACTGCTCTTTATTCATGTTATTTACAGATAGACCAGCTCTTTACTAATCTTTATTTTTTGATAGTCTTATAGACATAAAAGGATTGAATTAAATCTGTAATTTTTTTTATCGCTGTGACAGAAATGATCAAGTAGCGGATCTTCTCCAATTTGTTACACTGCAACTGTATGAGAATTGTATTGTTAAACTGCGGTAAGGGCTTGTCAGTTAGATTACTCTACCTTCCACCGGCAATCGTTGGCATCCAAAGAGGAGTAAAATATTCTCAACAAGGGCATTATGTAAAACAATCAACTAACTTGAAGATTTTTCACATATGGAATTTGTTGCCAATTTTCAGTCATAATTAAAACAACAAGAACACAGAGAATTAAAATAAAAACCATGTCAAAACATAAAAATCAAAACATCAGTTCATAGGACAAAGAACAAACTAAAGCTTCATTCAGCTGGAATGGACATTTTGACAAGCTTGCAGTGTCGCAAGCGTATTAATGCAAGGGAAATAACTCCGATTAGCTGCAATAATGTAGCCCTCTCCGATTTTTTTTAATCTGATATTTTCAGGAGAGGGCTACAATTCCACTGCATCTCCGTAATGGTGCAAATATATTTTTTAGATACGGGCGACTGCAGGCAAAATAAATTGTTTTTGCATTCAACTTACTTCCAATAAGACGGAATTTTTATTCACTATCAACATCATAGCCCTTTATACGCGAAAATCAAGTAAAATAATTCTGCGTGTTTACCAGTCGTTCTCTTCAGCAGCCATGACAGTTCTCGCGTGATGTACTGAGACTTACGCTTGAAATTTAGAATCACTTGATAAAGTAAATGTAGGTGTTGATAAATGTTTGTGTTGTATAATATCACTAAACATCGACAAATAAAAGCATTCCATGGGATATTTTTTCATAAACAGTGATACTTATGCTTAAAATAAGGGAAATCCTGAACGATCCGCTCCCCTAGATCCCGAATTCTCATTGGTTGTCCCAAAATAAAATCGATCAAGGTCAGTAAACATGGCGGATAAATTTAAGTTGGGATGTTGACATACACGAAAAATAACCGATATACGGATTGTTCTGTATATTTTTGGATCTATTCATGTCTTGCATAACTACATTTTATGAGTTCAGGTAAGATATGTCAATAAAATACCCATTTACTGATAATTTGAGCCGAAATCATTGCGGTAGTGAATCACTCCCGCACTTGCACCATTACGGAGATCCTAAGGAGTTGTAGCCCTCTCCCAAGAAAAAAAAAAAATCGGAGAGGGCTACATTATTGCAGCTAAACTCCGATGTATGGAAAAAAGACAATATTTTTTTTTTGAATGCTTTGAAATTCAAACAATTCACACAATTCTTGAAATGATTTCTTGTTATAAAATTATATATCTTTCCCATCGCCAAAATGACAACTTGTTCTCAAATCAGCATAAGTTTGAAAGTTGTATATTGTTATGTTTTTGTACAGACAATACTTGTTTATTCTGTTTGTTCGGTGATCTGTAAACTGAGAATGGTTAAATCATGAACATAAAAAAGTAATTCCTTGTATAGAACTTACCTGGATTGTCTAACAGAAATCCTGTCAATAGATGAGGAGAAACCTTCTCTAAACAAGAGCAGAAGTCGTGAAATGCTCCCAAGCCCCTCTTTCCCAAAATGTCAAGCAGAACTTCTGTACGCTCTCGAGGGTCACTGACTTCGAGCACCTGTCGCTCCTCGGTTGTGGATATAACTTCTTTAGCCACTAAGTGAGGTAAAATCTTATTCGTGTCTAAATCTCGGACGAGAGAAGCTCTATGACGGGTTAGGAGTCTCGATACCCCTTGTTTCCCCGCCATCTTGAAAGTTTTGATTGAAAATCTATTTTTAAGATTGTAAATCTGAAAAATTCCAAAAAACGAAAATCAAAGCAAACTTTTTTTTTTTTGTCTTGTTATACCGCATATAATATCTTGAAATTTTAACCCAACATATCTTTTAATATAAATAAATTAAGATTAATTTTTAAACGTAAGTTTAAAAAATAATAAACGAATTATTGAATTATTTTTTGTTACCCCACAAGCGCCTCTTGAGAAGCTGTGGACGCTCAAAAAAGCGACACATGACAGCGAAAACGATGTTTCTTATGATGACATAGATTTTTGCAATATAATTCTTTAATTGAACCAGAGACATAAACAGTGTTATTCAGGTCCTGAAAATGATGCAAAGATAAAAATCCAAATTCTTAAAGAAATTATCATCTGCTGTCCACCCATCACTCTACAGGACATTATTGAGCTAATTCACCCATTGTCACCTGGCTAAACGTATTCATTTTACTTATATAAACATAATTTATTTTTTCATGCATACTGATTTCTGATTTTTAAAAAAACAAACAAACAAAAATACATTGCAGCACGTAACCTTAGAACTTGTGTTTACTAGATACACCTCCCTTTTTCACCGCAGGGGGGGGGGGGGGGAGAGAGAAAATGATTGAAAAGCAAAAAGTACATTGCGGCATGAAAAAAATTGAAGCAAGAGAGAGAGAGAGAGAAATGTCCAGACCCAAATCTTAGGGGAAAAGGGAAAATAGGGGCCAGTCCCCCTCCCATTCTTGGTCCTCCTGATACCACCTACCCGGTTTAATTAAATGTCTCCTATTTTTATTTTACAAATACAATAATTACGATACACTAAATCAAATACAATGGACACCCCCCCCCCTCCGGTGAAAAAGGGAGGTGAATGTAGATGACGTTGTGGTCACTTGAGAAAAATGATGCCATATCAATAAAGTGATCATGTTATCTTAATTTAATTCATACTGCATTAAAACCTCTTGCATCTGAACACCTTCCTCAAAAATATATTTACAGCAGTGAATTCGAAGGAGAAATTTTAACAGACGAGTACTGTACGACATTTTGGAAAAGTGGTGTTAATCAAAGGTGGATACTAAGATACTACATAGAACTTTCAGAAAATTTGAAATCGCAGATTTTTCCAAAAATTAATCACGTATGGCTTTTCAAAACTATTTACAACCAATCCGCATAATAAATTAAAGACCAGACATTTGAAATTATGACAACTTCATACTAAATTAAAATAGAAACCGGATCATAAGGATTACGAGGATAGAGTCTGATCATATTTACCGGGTGGGAGTAAATACAAAATTTAAGAACATGGCAATTAGTTGTCAGGTTCTAAATTTTGTATTTACTCCCACCCGGTAAATTCAAAATTTAGAACATGACACTATTCATATTCACTCCTATACGTTGATTCGATACATCCAATGACTGAACTCGAAATAAAAGACACAACAGAGTTTGACACATCGATTTACATCATATTTGATGTTTTACCAGAGAACAACATCATGATGAAGGTGATAGTTTTAACTTGTCTGTCGTCAACTTCCCTTACTGATGTAGCAATATAGTGAATATATTAGCATTATCACCTGCATATGGTGTTCAACCTCTCATTTGCAACAGTATGAACTATAAGAAGAAAAAAAATATTTCCACACTGAAGCAGGCTAATGCCAAATAAGTTGATAATACAAAGGTAACAACAGTCTTGTCTAAAGTCAACATTTCGCAAATTCTATGGTCGATACAATCACCTTGTTTGCAAATACAATTCGTCGTTAGGTCAAATGTTTTCTGACGTGTTTCATACAAATTGTTAGGCCATTATTTTCATACAGAATTCTCTACAGATTTTCTCCCTTTACCTGATCATGACAAGGAGTTCATGGCGGGTGTGACCGATCGACAGGGGATGCTTACTCCTCTATGGCTCTTGTTCCCACCTTTGATGTTTTTCAGTGGCCAGTGTTTGCTTTGCTCTCAAGTTTGTAATGTATAGTTTGACTTTTGAGCCTGATCACTTTTAGTTATCCCACGCAACAATTCTTAAATAGCGTCTTCATTCAAAGAACGAGCATCCTTTCTTTTGAAAGATTACTGCTGGTATCTAAATCATATTAGATACAACCGAAAGTGAAGTGTTAAATTTTAAATTTTAGCTTTTTACACAAAACAATTATTGTCTTAAGTTCTGTAGAATTGCTGTCCAGTTCACAATTATAGCGTTAAAAGTTGCTTATAATTGCACCCGAATGAATCATATTCTGTTAAAATAGTTTGACAAAACCATTTATACGAGGCCTGTTCGAAAATTATTGAGACAATGTGTATATTCTTTTTTCTAATGAACGTCTTTCGGTGAAAATTTGCATATACGTTTAACAAATAACAAAAATTAATAAAAGCAAAAAATATTTTACAAATATTTTATTTCTACTTCTCAGTGGTATATTTATGTGTCAATGGTAGGGGTACATGGCGCAGTCACGGAATTAGATGTTGATAATATGCTACACCAATGTTCAAACTCCCGGTGGACTCATAGTAAAAGCGAAAATAATTCAATTTATGTATATAATTTTTCAATCTAATTTTGACTTCATTTTGTGCAAGTTTGTTTGAATTTCGATCAGAAATACGGAGATCATAAATAAATTTAAGCGCGGCATAGAAATCTGAGAACAACGACAAAATGGAATTTGACGTCAAGGCGGCGCAGCGAGCATACATTTAATTTTGTGTAGCGCTATGGAGAACTCTTTTACAGACTAAACGACCTGCTAAAACAATAACAATGCAAAAAAAAATGTGTCTAAGGGTTTTATTTTTTCATTGGTATATATCTTATTCTTACAAAATATTCAACAAGAGTAAAAACAAGAGCTCCAGACGACCATCAATTAATTGACCCGCTGTGCAAAAATCGGTACTGCGTGATGCTAATTCAACCTAGTTGTATATGACACTTCGTGTATTTTTTTACACTGAGGTAGCAACAGCACACATTTTTTTTTTTAATTTTATTTTTTTAAAGAATTGTTTAAGAAAAGAAACAGTTTGATTTTGGGAATGTTATATGTGATAACAGAGAAAGAAGAGTAAACGCTTCCCGATCGTTTCACTTGCAAAAAACATCTCTGGCTGACGTGACGTTAAAATGACGTAGGGATGCTGCTCCAGGTCGATAGACATATGCATGTTTATAATTTCACCGGAACTTGTCTAATTTTCCTATAAATTAGAAATTTTGCACATTTCCTTTATTCGTTATTTTGTAAAATGTTGACGAAGTTTCATGAATGTTTCTCTGGCCTTTATGGAGTAAAAGCACAGGCACTTGTTTCGGTAATAAATTTTTAACCCATAGTATAATAATAACATACAATGGGTTAAAAATTTATTACCGAAACAAGTGCCTGTGACAAACGAGCATTATTTCAAAGAAGATGGGCGAACAAACCGAGAAAATGCCTATGGAACAACAAATTAATAAGAAAGTGAAAATTTAAAACTAAATAATAACACAATTTCAGTTAATACTAATATACATACTTTCTGTAAATTCGCTACAATTTGCAACAATCTTACAAGCGTTAAGTCATATATGGCGTATTTTTTATAAGTTCAGACTAACTAAAGAAAAAAAATCTTTTTATTTGTTTTACTACTTTATAAAAAGATAGGACTTTCCTGTAAATTACACAATTCAAATCAATCACGTTTCAAAGATATTAGAAGTTTAAAACAATAACCGATCTATTTACCGACACACAGTTTAAAGTCAATTTAACTATGGAAACATGAGGTTATTCAAGTTCAGAATCTGTGAAAAGTTTAATTTGAACGTAAATAATATATATAATGTTTATTTACACTCAATCTCGTATTTTTATTTTTTAGCTCAGATACGCCATGTATAGCTTTAAAATTATTCGTCTCAAAGAGGACATAGGGGATAAATTCTTCTTACTAGTATAATTTTTCTATATAAGTGGGTCTTCTGAGCTACCTTGCAATTATATCACACACTTTTTTCACTATGTATTCAATAACAATTGAAGTTCATAGAAGACCTAAAATACTGTATATCTTGGAAAATGTATCTAGAAACATTTTTTTCCCCCAAAATGCCTGGATACCTATAGTTTTATTATCCTAAAATATACTTGTTGATCAATTCTTCTATTCAAAAATGCATAAGACCTGGTGTCCAAAAACCACATAGATATTAGTCAATCAGAAACTCAAGCATCTTTTTAATATCAACTTCAGAATACGTGTATTTACAATCAGACTGTCTTTTTAACAAAACAAGCTTATCTTTTAAAAAAGATAGGTGAGCTAGCGCTGTAGCTATCATAAACCATAGAATTAGATATCTGAATTACTGGATTAATTTGCTGAATCGATTAAGGGGGCGACCATTTGATTCTCGGGGGGGGGGGGGTCTGGCAAAAATTTTCGAGTCAGATTATTTATTTTCATGCCAGTCAAGGACAGATTATTTATTTTCTTCTTCACTGAAAAAAGTTTGACAAAAAAAAAGTTCAAACGGGGACGGAAGGGGGGGGGGGGATAGTAATAGTCAAGAACAGATTATTTATTTCCTTGCCGGTCGTGGAAAGACAATTATTTATTTTCAACTTTTTTGAGCACAGATTATATATTTCCAAAATCTGCCAGCCCCCCCCCCCCCTTCAGAATCAAATGGTCGTCCCTAATTATTAATAGGAAGACACAGTGGTACACTGGAGGTGGTGTTGGGGGATGTGTCTTAATTCAGAATGGTGAATCTAGAGTGGGTTTTCACATTGGCAATGGCATGCATCATTAACTGTGCTTTAAGCATTCTGTAGTTTACTGTAATTTCAATTTTGAAGTGAAAAATAAGAGATAAGTAGAACCAATGAACACCTAGTTTAAAAATATTCCAGTGTGGTACTGTTTTTACTGTTTTGTAGCAATCA